GAAAGCCAATCCGTGATTGGTTGATTTGTGATCACATGACCCTAATCAAATGCAATGTTTCCTTCAGGGCAATAAGTAAACAATTATTGCCCTCCCGAAAAACAAAATGGCGGCTTTGAACTTGCAAGTTTATAAATGTTTTCTCAAGTTTATTTGAAGACTACAGATTCGAAAGAGACGAAAAATACACAGCAGGCAACAGGAAATGCTGTGGAAATACTTTAGGCAAGTTTTTAAATTTTAATATCGCTTACTTTGTATTGTTTTTATCACAAAATACAATTGTTGTATGAATATATATATATTTTTTTATTTCGTCGCTATATAACAAAACACTTAATGTCTGTTCTCTCGGGAAATAGTTAGTTTTGTTTTCCCTCGAAACTCAATGTTTCCCTCGACTTCGTCTCGGGAAACATTGAGTCTCTCGGAAAAACAAAACTAACTATTTCCCTCGCGAGCAGACATTAAGTGTATAATATATACCCATCCATATCAGCCGGCATCCAAAGCTTATATCTCCGTTTATGGGCTTCTTGGGGCAGTACTAGTGTTTAATCGAATGCCTACCCTTGAAAAGAATCATGCTTTCATATATGCTAAGTTTTTGGGATACATTATATAATTTTACATAATTAGCATTCATTGCAGAAATTAATGGTCACATGTAAATCGCTTAGTATCTGGGTAAACCTGTTTCTTGGCAATGTTGAAGAAACTATAGGCACAGCAAGGTCTTAGTCAGCTTTCCAATTGTCAACTAAAGATGGCAGCTCATGATAACCCATGATCAAATTGATTCCAAGAAAACCATAAAACTCTTCTCGGTTCAAAGGAGCAAAATTTATTTCTCTTTGATTTGCAAGTCTGGAATAGGATGTCGTCCACCACATCTGTACCAAAATACTTCAAAAAACATCGGATGGGGATATTTGATCAAAGTACTCATCTTTGGGCCCTAGAAAATACATAGTACTCAAATGTTGATTGGTTGCATGGCAAAAGTATAATATATATTTTGGTTTGCATTTATGATTATGGTGCTTTGTTGACTGTCAACGTAAGACGTTGGAATATATGTCTAATGTAGTATTTCTAGTATGTAACTGAAATGATGTCAACTTTGTGATATATTCAAATATTTGGTTGCTGTTCATATTCTTGGCCTATTGACAACAGGACTCTTGTCTCGGCAATGCCTTTCTCATCAGTTTTCTCCACTAAGCAGCCAGAATCGAGTTGCGGTATAGATATTTGATCTGATCAGGTGTAAGCTTGGATGAACCAATTTTTGACATATACTTTTCTATATATTCAACTTGTGCGATAACAGATTCGGTTTTGGAATCTTTGACAGCAGGAATGATGTCCTTTTTCTGCACATAGAACTTGTGCTAGTTTTGGCATTTTGACTCTTTCTCTTATTGCTAGTTGAGTCTGCTAATTCAGCTATACCTCAGCCGCTACGTCTGAGTCAGTATAATTTCCTTCTCCTTCTCTGGATTTTCATCAATTTCAAGTGGACAATTGGCAATGTCATCAATAATGTTATCAGATTCTAACCTATTACTGAATATAAAATAATAACTGAGATTGAAAAACTAAATACAAATAAAAGTGCAGGATATGATGAAATAAGTTCTAAAATGGAAAAAAAAAAAAATAAAACACGAGATCAGTGAACCTCTTGCACATATTTTCAACTTAACTGATCAAAACGGAATAATCCCAGATTTGTTAAAAATAGCTCTTGTTACCCCTATTTTTAAAGCAAATGAAAAACATTTGTTTGAAAACTATAGACCAATATCGGTTCTTTCATGTTTTTCAAAATTGCTTGAAAAACTGATGTATAAAAGACTGATTTCATACATTGAGAAAAAACAAATTTTATCTAAACATCAATATGGTTTCAGAAAAAATCGGTCAACTGAACATGCTATTATTGAATTAACTGACAAAATATCAAAAGCTATAGATGAAGGTAAATTTACAACCGGTATTTTCCTTGATCTATGTAAGGCTTTTGATACAGTAAACCACGAAATTCTTTTAAAAAAACTTGAACATTATGGTATAAGAGGAAATTTTCTTAAATGGTTTGAAAACTACTTATACAAAAGAACGCAAATTGTTATAATTGGTAATCATAGATGAAACAAAAGGACAATATCTACAGGAGTTCCGCAAGGATCAATTCTTGGACCACTACTTTTTCTCATATATATTAATGACATTGAAAATTGTAGTGAAATTATTTTATTTCATTTGTTATGTATGCTGATGACACTAATGCTTTTTATTCTGATAAAAATCTGAAATCATTAACAAACATCATGCAAGAAGAAATGAATAAAGTAACTAATTGGCTTAATGTGAATAAATTATCAATAAATACAACAAAAACTAAATATATTATTTTTAAGTCAAGCAACAAGAAATGCAACACTGAAATTAATATTCAACTAAATCACAACACAATACAACAGGTTACTAATGTAAAATTTTTAGGTGTAATAATAGACCAAAATCTGAAGTGGAAGAACCATATAAACTCGGTTTTGAAAAATATAATTAAAGCCACCGCACTTATTGCAAAACTACGACATTATACAAATAGAAATACGCTAAAATTAATTTATTATGCATTGGTTTATCCATTTCTTACTTATGGGAATCTAACATGGGGAAATACATACCCAACAAGGCTTCAAAAGTTGCTGAATGTACAAAAAAAAATTATTAGACTGATCACTTTTAAATCCTATCTTGAACACACTGAACCGTTATTTCACAAGTTGAAGATCTTAAATATTTTTAAGATCAATGATTATTTAAGTTGCTTATTCATGTACCGTATTAAATACTTCCAAAATTTACCTGAATTTTTTAATAATTACTTCACGCGGAATAGTGAAATACATCGTGATAATACTCGAAATGCAAACAAATTTCAGGTTAACTATAGAAGAACCATGCAAACATACCGTTATTAACAAGGGAATTGAAATATGGAATTCCCTTGATGAAAAGATTAGCAATATTAGGTCTTATTTTACTTTTAAAATAAAATCAAAGATATTCTTTCTGGAATATATTTGATTGTCATCAAACAAGTCATAATGTTTGTTTATACGCATCAGAAAACACAAAGCCTTCATGTCTTGTATATAGAATTGAAAAATAATTTTTAGTTAAATTAAACTTTTCTTCTTATTATTAATACTTAGTTATGTTATAATCATTACTTGTAAATATTCTATTCGGCTCTTAAAAATTATTCTTATGAACATTGTAAAACTAGGGACCTCTTACCTAAAAGCCTAAAAGGATTTCATTAAGTTCCCTAGCCCTTCACGTTGTTATTATAGCACTGTAATTATGTAAACTTTTAATTGGGCAAAATAAATAATAATAATAATAATAATAATAATAATAAAAAAAAGATTCAGACGATTCTTGATCTTCACTTGTAATGCCATTATCATCGCTAGGAACATCAGCCAACATGCCCACAACATCGCCTCTGTCTTAACGTGCGACTATTCTGCTCCCCATTACGATACAGTAGACTATAACACAATAAATACATTACAAAAATAATCTCAAACTTTTTTCTGTAAATAACTGTCAGGGCTGCAAAGTCCCAGCGAGAAAAACTTGCATTACTAAAGAAGTAACGCTAAACTCTGGTAAAAAAAAAACAAATCAGAAAGTTCTTTTAAGGGTAATTAATATATAAAAAATTCTGAGCTTTGAAAACTAAAACGATAGCTAGAACAACTCACCTTTCACATCAACAACAGAACATGTGAAGACGCCATTTTGTTTTGTTCATTATGTCAAAGTGGAACTGAACATCGTAGTGGTATGCATTGGGTTAATAGGAGATCATTACTGGAAATGTACCAATAAGTCCCTATGTGTCCTAATGTTTCTTTCTTGTCTAATAAACCATTCATCACATGGCGGGACTTTCAAGTCCCATTGGTAGACATAATTCATGTGGGAAACGCAAAGAAAAATCATAAGCGTGTCGTATCTTTATATGTGATAGATATTTCCCTTGACTTACATAAATTTTAACTTTGATTTTCTCGACTTACACAACGTGTACTTTGAAAATTACTTCGCCAAGGAACTGACTAGATCGATCGTTTCCGAAGCATTTTAAAACATTTCGCATTGCGTGTTTTATCAGACCTAAAAATACTCGGCTTCGCCTTGCATCTTTATAATAAAACACTGCTGCTCATGCTATAAATAGTACATAAAAGATGAAAATTTGAAAGCTACAAAATATATAACTATGTAAATAGTGTTTTGGATACTCAGTCGAACAAGTCTTTTACAAATAGGATACATCGCAAGGGGCCGAAGTTATGTTCGGCGAAAGTACGTATGTTTATATTTATACAATTTGTTCGGAAAATTACAAACTCGCTTGACTTTCAAAGGTCATAAATCGCTATGATGTTGACATTGTCTCACATTGACTAAAACTATATCGCTAGGAATTAGGAGATATTGTTACACTGAATCGAACAGTGGTATTGTTGTCTTCATAGCTTTCACCGAAATGAAGATATAAAACCTGCAAAGTCATATTGCACCGGAAGCTGGGATATGTCGGTAAGGAGTTAGTCGAGTTAAATATCGCTCTAAAAACTTTTCTTCATTTATATTATATGAAAGAAATAGAAGCAATTTCCAGACATATTCACCGAGATATATAGAACAACGTCGTTATAGGGAAACCGATCGCTGAATACGATAGATCATGGAATTTGCCACAAAAGCCGCCCTATCATTATGCATTCGAAAGTACTTAACGTACGATCGCACTGTTGGTCAACGTGAGATCTTATCTGGACAGCCAATTGTATTTCACGTCTTTAATTAACTAAACGCCTATTCTAGTTACCAATTTTCAGTAATTAAAAAAAACAGAGCTGAACAATCACCTACTAAGAAGAACGGCGACCAGAATTTGCGATCAGTACATTGTACACAATGAGGTTTAGGCGAGGAAAGCTTTGGAAATTTACATCTCTTGTAACGATTTCCTTTTGGACATGTTTCATCGTTCGACATAAATTGAAATCGAGCAAAGCAACTTCTAAGAAGGTACTACATCATAACTCTGAGTGTAAAATTTCTGATCTGAAGTCGTATCTTAGCCGCAGTCTTCCTAAGAATCCAAGTACCTACTCACGAAAAGCAGATCATTTTCCTGAATCTCGACTTAATGCTGATACAACTAACGACGAGAGAAAATGCCCTGAACTGTACGAGATAGCACGAGCGATGCTGGATGGTGAAAAGATTGGACTTCCCTGCGAAACAAACCACACGAGGTGGAAATTTCGAGAGAGAGTCGATTTGGATGTTCTTACGAAAACGTATTTTCACTGGAATTATCCATGGCAGCAAGGAGACTCAGCAGAAACGCGACGAAAACTTCAGAGATATAACGTGTCAGCCAGAACTATACCAGCAAGGAAATATTTAGTGACGTACGGTCACAACTGCTGTGAGATGTCAAAAAATAGAGCAGTCAATCAAGGAATCGATGTTGGCAAAGTGGACTATGCTGAAGCTTTAGATTTGTCCCATTTATCTGTGCCTTTCCAGATCTCTCATCAAAACCTTTTGAGACAAAGAAAAGGGGCAGGATATTGGTTGTGGAAATCCTATATTATTCTCAAAACTTTATTGACAAAATTGAACGACGGAGATCTACTTATTTACCACGACGCAGGAGCATATTTTGTAAAGGACATAGGTCCTCTTTTTAAATTAGCCATGGACGCGAATCCCAGTGTCCTTGCATTCCATCAGCCGTATCGAGAACGTCTGTTTACCAAACGAGACGCGTATGTTTTAATGGGAATGGACGAACCACGGGTATATCAGAATAAACAAAACCAGAGAATGGCTGGATTGCAAGTATACATGAAGTCATGTGCCACGATACAATTTGTAATGGAGTATCTCGCGTATTCAACTGATCGTAGAATCGTAAGTGATGACAAAAATGTCATGGGTAAACCAAATTTTGAGGGCTTCGTAGGAAATAGACATGACCAGTCAATTTTTTCTCTGTTGACAAAGAAGTGGGGAATTTTAGAGTTACGAGATCCTTGTACGTGTGGTCGGAATAAGTTTACTCAAGATTACAAATATGCATCTGGACCTTACAGTTCTATGTATGTTAATGACAGAGTTAGACATTAATCCTTCATGCATGTTTCATATTATCGAATATTCTAATATACAAAAATATGCAATAATAACAGAATTAACAGGCTATTATAATAGAACTGTGTTAATATTCTAACGCATATTTAGTAAATACAATAGCAATTGAATGGTCGTGTATTCTGTCAGTGTTTTTCATTTGACATAATATACAATAGCATAAATAACTATTGCAGGAATATCAAAGTTTTACAAAATTATTCAATCATTATAATGATTTAATCGGTAGATATAAAAAGCACAATGTCCATGTAGGGTGAACTTCCTGAAAGTTACGCTCTGATGGCATTAATAATTTTGTTTCAAGCTGCCAACTGGCATTTTCTTAGAGTATATTATGGATTAATAAAAAAGACTATTTAGGCAATGGCTATAAAGCCAAAATCAGAGTTGCCAACATATATAGTGTTCTTCATAAATGCATATATATACTCTAACAGAAAATGCCATGGTGTGAAAAACAAATTTTCTGATTTGGCCAGCCGTCTAAATACTGTACATGCATCATTTATTGAAAAATGGTCAAATCCAGGGACGTTCATGGAATTGGAGATCGGAATTGATAAATCCCTTCTTATACGGGTTCCAATCCTGCCAGAGGTCCTATTATAGTTGTATTTTTCGCAGTATGAAAATTTAAACTAGAAATTGCCATGTATATAAAATCATTCAGCAGTTAAATCGAGTCACACATGAATATACTACAGCCAGCCGTGTTTTGTGTAAAGAGATACTAAACTATAGACTAACTTCGTATAAAGTAGATTGTATCATTTTAATTAAGTAATTAAAATTAAGATAGATGCAATCAAGTAGATTGTAGCATTTTAATTCAGGTCAAGGTCTGATCGTGTTGTGCTATAAAAAGCAATGAAAATGCAATTATTGAAAACAATCACAAAATGCGTAGTTATAGTGACTATCTTTTTATATCCAAATTACGGAAAATCGAATAATTTCGAACGTTCAGTACTTTAGAAATATTGTTAGCTTCGGCGTAAATCTATATTACAGGTTCACGGCAGGCGCGGATCCAGACTGATGCAACTGATGCGAATGCATCAGTCAAAATTTTCACACGAACGATAATTGTCAACATTTTATTAAAATATATTTAAATATTGGTTGTCTTTGATCCAAAGTCTTTTAAAACAATATATTTTCACAGGAATGAATGTAAACAAAGCTATATTTCGCAAAATAATATGAAAAACGTAAACGCATATCAAATTTCGCACTTATCAAGTTGTACGATTTTGTGTCGCGACTTTATTTCGCCACATATGTCGGTGTTTAGTTTGATGCATCCACTATTATTACAGCTCAGTGTATGCATCACTACGTCACGTTGGGGCCGGCAGTGCATCACTACGTCACGTTGGGGAGAAAAGTGCATCAGTGGAACAAGGGCAAATAATGTTAGCCAATCAGCGCGTTTGTTTACATTTTGCGTTCTTGACCAATCAGAATGCCTGAAATTCGAAACATGTAAACAAAAGGAGTGAGAAAATAACACCTTGTTCTACGCCCGCGGTGACATTCGATATTAAACTTTTTTCGCCAAAACTGACAAATTCTGATAAAGCATGCTTTCTTCTTTAATTTCCTCGGGGGGATTTTTTAAATTCGATCTAGAACGCGAAATATTTATGTTTGAATAACAGTGTTTTGACGCGCGTAAAATAGCAGACTCTCACTTGCACTATCTTTACACACACATAAAAAATTGGTAGATTTGGCAGTTTAAACTTATTTTTCCCACACCACAGCTGACATGTTTTTAAATATTACCTATCTGATCTCATCGATCTCATTTCGCATCGGAAATGCGTCACAACGATCCACGACTGACAG